GTCTCTCATCCAAGAGACTTCCTCAGTCTGAGGTGCTGTTTTCAGCTTCTGTGAAGGTGCTATTTAAGAGACTGAGCTGAAAACAGCACCTCAGACTGAGGAAGTCTCTTGGATGAGAGACGAAACGTTTCTAGATTTTTTTTGCTTTGTTTTGTTTTTTGTTTTTTTGAATGTCCAGAGGACCAGATTGAACTTTTTTGGATATATGTGACAGTGGTTTTCTAAAGTAAACTATGACACCCGAGCACAGCTGGCAGGTAGATGGGAATGCTTCCACAGAACATCCTTTCAACTCATCTGGGATTTGGGGCTGTAGTTGAGATATTATTTGAGCTTTTGAGATGTTAATCAGCTGCTGTTGTTGTAGAAAACTGCCTTGTTGCCATGGTTACGCATCATAACAAATATCCAAAACTAAAAAGTTTCAGTAAAAATCCTTCCAGCTGCACAGCATCTGATACCAGAGGAAACAATCATCCAACAAATGTGATTTACATCCAGAAAAAGAGGAATTAAAGTTTCCAAAAGCAAAATCTCAGAATGAAAGTAGCAGAGCTGCTCCAACATGCAGCCACCTGGAGCAAAGGCAACATTTAGAACAACATCCAAACGTAAAATGTTTGGAATGACTTTGTGTTTCTGTCTACATCAGTAGTTTGTCAGGTTTGAGAGAAAGCTGTGGCTTTCCAACACTTGGTAAAGGCCACTGGAAGACTGGAGCTAAATGTCGGTGTGCTGGTCCAACAGAACTGCAGCTGCGTCACTTTGAACACGTTCAGGACTGTCACTATTGTACAAGGGAGACGGGCGATCAGCTGAGAACACGTCGGCATCATTTAAAGGGTAAGATGCAACGATCAGTCATTTTCCAGCTTCCTGAACAAACTGATCTCACCTGGAACGTCACTTTTCTTCTCCTGATAGACGGTGCAGGTGAAGGCGTACCGCAGGGCAATGGCAGCAAAGAACATTTCAATGCAGATGATGAAGTTCTGCCAGCCGGCTGCGACCGTGCCGGCACCAACTTCTTGTCCATCGATGAAAAGAGCATTGGGAATGACGCCGCATCGCTCCAGGATGGCAAGGACCATTCCTACAATTGCAGCAGTAAATGCAGTTTTCTCTGTTTAGTCATTCAAAAATAAACAAATAAATAAAATAGACGTGCACAATATTGGATTTTTGGACAAATATCCAATATTTTAATATGTTAAAACTTATTTGGCCGATAATCGATACCAATACAGACATTTGTCCCCCAGACCTACTCACAGAGACGTCAGAGCTTTTCCTGCTGTGGAATTAAAACATTATTCTGCATGTTCTGCCAGTTTGGCTGCTTCCAAACGCAGATGCTGGAAATGATGCAACACTTCAACTTGCTTATGTTTAATGTCAAATTCAAAATCCGTGAGTTATTTTGATGGAATGGTCGATGTTTAACTTCATGGCTAATATCGGCCGGTATCGATACCACGCCGATGACATCATGCATCCCTACAATAAAACAATAGGAGGGATGAACTCACCTTGCCAGAAGGACAAGAAGATGACAGACTTAATGGTGAGAAATTTGAGCACTGGTTCGTAGGGTCGCAGCAGGTCGCTGGTGGCGAAGAAGAAGAGGAAGAGCGCGTAGAGAGCCAGGCTCACGGACAAGTTGTAGATGATTGTGATGTACAGGTATCCTCCATTCACACTGCGCAGGACAACAACATCGTTTTACAAACCTCCACCATTCGTTTGCAAACACCATGACATCGTTTGCAAACACCATGACATCGTT